TAAAGGCCATTGCCAAACTGCAATCCCCTCGGACTATAAAAAAGGTGCAGAGGCTAACAGGAATGGCAGTAGCACTTGGGAGATTCATATTCCGCACATCCGATAAGTACAGATCCTTCTTTTAGTCAATCAAAGGAAAGAAGGGAGCGTTCTAGAGTCAGGAATGTGAGGAAGCTTTTACAAATCTAAAGGCATACTTAGCATCTCCACCGATTCTATCGACTCCGACACCCGAAGAAGGGCTTTACCTTTATCCAGTTGTATCAGAACATGCTGTAAGTGGAGTATTGATGAGGAATGATTGTGGAAAGATGAAACTCATCTTCTATGTGAGCAAGATGCTCTTAGATGCAGAATTAAGATATACTCTGTTGGAAAACTTGCCCTAGCACTAATTAGCTCGGTTAGGAAGCTCAGATATTACTTCTAAGCCCACCAAATTATAGTACTTACTGATCAACCGCTAAAGTCATTATTCCATAAAGTCAATTTGTCGGGACGTATTGCTAAATGGGCAGTGGAGCTAGGGGAGTTCGACGTTCAATTCGAACCAAGAAAGGCGATAAAGGGCCAGGTTATGGCAGAATTTATCATAGAATTTCAACCTAAGGATAACTCAGCGCAAAGTGAAGAGACTAATTACAACCGAGAGTTAGAGCTCGGTGGCGGTTGGACCCTATCTGTCGATCGATCCTCAAATCATAAGGGTGCTGGCATTGGCGTTGTTCTAGTAAGTCCAAATGGATGTACTTTAGAGAAAACCATCAGGCTCGAATTTGAAGCCTCAAACAACGAAGCAGAATACGAAGCCTTGATAGTTGGAGTAAGGTAGGTAGTCGAGCTGGGGGCAATGAAGCTCCAAATATTCTCTGATATTCACAACTGGTAATGAACCAGATAATAGGGGAGTATGCAAAAAAAGATGAAAGAATAATAGCCTACCATACCATCGCAAAGAAAGAACTGAGTAAGATATCTGAATATTCTATTCTGCAGGTCGGAAAAGTAAAGAATTCTCACGTTGATGCTTTAGCTTCTTAGGCCTCGGCCATTGACCTTGAAAATGAAAGGACTATTACTGTGAAATTACAGCTCGAGCCCAGTATCCAGCCGATCAGTACTAATGAAGCCTTAAGCATCGATGCTGAGTTGAGCTGGATGGACCCGATAGTTAACTTCCTAAAGGATGGAACGTTGCCCGAAGACAAGAAGGAAGCCCATAAGCTACATTTGAAAGTTGCTAGGTTCTAGCTATCACCAAAACTTGAGCTCTATTGACGCTCGTTTGTAGGTCCGTACTTAAAGTGCGTGCACCCAAAGATAGCCCCAGACTTCTTATTTGAAATTCATGAAGGAAGCTGCGGAGCTCACACTGATGAGAGATCTTTGGCTCACCGAGCCATCTCTCAGGGTTTTTGGTGGTCATATATGTAGAAGGATGCTTAACAATTCGTGTGACAATAGGAGAAATGTCAAAAATTCTCACCGATACCGAGAAAACCTTCACAGGATCTGTTTTCATTGACTAGCCCGTGGCCTTTTACTCAATGGGGACTAGACATAATGAAACTATTTTCCTTGGGCACCAGGCAATAAGAAGTAACTTCTTGTTGCAACTGATTATTTCACTAAGAGGGTGGAAGCCGAGCCCCTAGCCAACATCAGAGATACTGATACAAGGAAATTTGTCTAGAAATACATCATTATAAGATTTGGGATCCCACATACGCTTATTTTATATAATGGCACACAGTTCAATAGTCATCCTTTCAAAACTTTTTGTCAGTATTTTGGGATTTGGAATCACTATTCTACCCCAGCGTACCCTTAAAGTAATGGACAAGCAGAGATTTCTAACAAAAAAATCTTGGATGAAATCAAGAAAAGGTTGGAGGATGTCAAAGGAAAATGGGTAGAGGAGCTGCCGAATGTACTGTGGACGTACCAAACCACACCTCGGCGCTCAATTGGAGAGACTCCCTTTGCCCTAGCATATGGGATGGAAGCTATTATTCCGTTAGAGATCGTCTTACCGACCTTAAGGACCGAGCTGGTCAAAAGCAGTATTAATGACGCCGTAATCGCACGAGATCTCGATCTGGTAGAGGAAAAGAGAGAGCAGGCTGCTATAAGAATGACTTCCTATCGGAATCAGATGTCCCGAGCTTATAATAAGAATGTAAACCCTCGGTCTTTCACACTTGGAGACCTAGTACCCAAGCGAGTATTAGGATCGGCTAAGAACCCTGTTCATGGAAAGCTCGGAGCAAACTAGAAAAATCCGTACAAAATAGTCAAAGTTGGGGGCAGCAAGTATTACGAACTCGAGACCTTGGATCATAAGGCAGTACCGTGCCCTTGGAACACTGCAAACCTCATGAAGTTTTATTTCTAAAAAGTACCTTTTTAAATAGAACTCCGATGTGCCTTCGAAAATTTAAGGGTGCCCCTTAAGCGATGATATATTAGCAGCAAATGTATCAAATCGAAGTTATCAATAAAAATTCGATGATTCTTTTTTCCACACTTGCTTTGCATTATGTACGTCCTACTGCTAAGACAGAGAGGCCAAAAAACCTTATAGAAGTCAAAAACTTAAATCAGGCGTAACCACTCGATCAAACTCAAACCCTCAGCTAGACATGACGATGTAAGCTGACTAGGGATGAGTTTGAGTCTAATCAGATTGGCAGGTCGGTGCGGAGTAGAAACACTNGGCGTAGCCACTCGATCACACTCAAACCCTCAGCTAGGCATGACGATGTAAGCTGACTAGGGATGAGTTTGAGTCTAATCAGATTGGCAGGTCGGTGCGGAGTAGAAACACTTGTAAAAAAGTACACAGAAAAAAATGTTGGGTAATTAAGTCCTTGATTTTGATACTTATTTATATCTAATTACATTATTTGAATTTTACTGATTTTTTTGTGACATTTTTTTCCTCCATTAATCTGTGTATTTTCTTTGGAAAGTGGTACATTAAATATCTCATAGTTTATGGAGATTAAATATCTTCATTAATCTATGTCTTTCCTTGATTCATGCATATTTTTTTTGGTAAGTGATTTTGTTTTCAAATTATATTTAATACACCTTAATTAATGCGTATTTTTTTTTGTAAGTGATTTTATTTTCAAATTATATTAATATCCGAACAGTGTAATAGTAACAGTGTAACAAGTCATTTACACAAAATATTATACTATTATATTTTGTCAAACATATATTTTTATATAATTTTATTAAAAACAATACATCTCTGTTTTGAATTTGTTACCACATGCATAAAATTACTGAACATTGTTTTTGTTACAGTGTATTGTTACATTGTCTTTGTTGTCGTGTATTTTTTACACTATTTTTGTTACATTGGAATTCGAATATTAACAAATTTTGAAATTCAAACAAGTTATATATTCTAAAATAAACATAATATTAAAATTTTCCTATAAAACTAGTAGTAGTAAATATTTAATGCATAAATATAATTTGAAAATAAAATCACTTTCCGAAAACAAATACGTATAAACCAAGGTGTAAAAGATAAAAGATTTTGAATTAAATGACCCTAAATTTTAGTGCTTAATAAATGTCTTATTAAAATTTTTAGAAAATAAAATTTTATAAAATAGACATTTACGTCTTTATATTTTTTTTCAATATATTTTATTATATGTATTTTTTTATAATTATGTCTAATTTAATATACGGATTTCTTAATGACCCTAAAGTTAACCAAGTCGGATCCGAATCGAGGGCTGGACATGAAAAATCATTAGTAGAAATTCCAATTCAAAAGGAATTTCAATCCATTGATCTCGGTACAGTGATGGGCAAGGGGAAGAAAGCAGTGGTGGAGGAAGAAAAAGATATCCTTAAAATGCAAAAGAGTGTGCCAAGACGTGGAGTAGCAGGGGTTCGTATAGTAGTTGTTGAAGCCTCATCGGTGCTGGGAAAGAGAAAAGCTGAAGATGGGAAGGAGGTTCANGCCAAAAAACCTGATAGAAGTCAAAAACTTAAATCAGGCGTAGCCACTCGATCACACTCAAACCCTCAGCTAGGCATGACGATGTAAGCTGACTAGGGATGAGTTTGAGTCTAATCAGATTGGCAGGTCGGTGCGGAGTAGAAACACTTGTAAAAAAGTACACAGAAAAAAATGTTGGGTAATTAAGTCCTTGATTTTGATACTTATTTATATCTAATTACATTATTTGAATTTTACTGATTTTTTTGTGACATTTTTTTCCTCCATTAATCTGTGTATTTTCTTTGGAAAGTGGTACATTAAATATCTCCTAGTTTTATGGAGATTAAATATCTTCATTAATCTATGTCTTTCCTTGATTCATGCATATTTTTTTTGGTAAGTGATTTTGTTTTCAAATTATATTTAATGCACCTTAATTAATGCGTATTTTTTTTTTGTAAGTGATTTTGTTTTCAAATTATATTAATATCCGAACAGTGTAATAGTAACAGTGTAACAAGTCATTTACACAAAATATTATACTATTATATTTTGTCAAATATATATTTTTGTATAATTTTATTAAAAACAGTACATCTCTGTTTTGAATTTGTTACCACATGCATAAAATTACTGAACATTATTTTTGTTACAGTGTATTGTTACATTGTCTTTGTTGCCGTGTATTTTTTACACTATTTTTGTTACATTGGAATTCGAATATTAACAAATTTTGAAATTCAAACAAGTGATATATTTTAAAATAAACATAATTTTAAAATTTTCCTATAAAACTAGTAGTAGTAAATATTTAATGCATAAATATAATTTAAAAATAAAATCACTTTCCGAAAACAAATACGTATAAACCAATGTGTAAAAGATAAAAAATTTGAATTAAATGACCCTAAATTTTAGTGTTTAATAAATGTCTCATTAAAATTTTTAGAAAATAAAATTTTACAAAATAGGCATTTACGTCTTTATATTTTTTTTCAAAATATTTTATTATATGTATTTTTTTATAATTATGTCTAATTTAATATACGAATTTCTTAATGACCCTAAAGTTAACCAAGTCGGATCCGAATCGAGGGCTGGACATGAAAAATCATTAGTAGAAATTCCAATTCAAAAGGAATTTCAATCCATTGATCTCGGTACAGTGATGGGCAAGGGGAAGAAAGCAGTGGTGGAGGAAGAAAAAGATATCCTTAAAATGCAAAAGAGTGTGCCAAGACGTGGAGTAGCAGGGGTTCGTATAGTAGTTGTTGAAGCCTCATCGGTGCTGGGAAAGAGAAAAGCTGAAGATGGGAAGGAGGTTCAGGAGGATATGGAGGTGGATGAGTTACCAGTTCCGAAGAAGAGAGGTGAGCTCTCTGAAAGTAATCCAAAATTGTTTTCTTATCCAAATAATCCAAAGGCAAGCTCTAGTGTTTGGGCCTGCCTACCACCATGAAAACCTTGTGTTGGAACTGCCGAGGGATTGTGCATCCTCAAACAGTTCATATACTTCATGAATTTGTGAAGACCCAAAACCCGATTTTGTTTTCTTATGGAGACGAAGTATAAAAAAAGTTTCATTGATCGTCGGAAAATGCAATGGGGAATGAATGGTGTTGATGTGGACGCGATTGGATAGGCCGGCGGTTTGGCTTTACTGTGGCAGAAAAATCAAAATGTCTCTTTACAAAATTTATCAAAGAAGCATATTGATGTGATAATCAATATGGGTTAAGAAAGTGAATGGAGGTTTACAGGGTTTTATGGTGAGCCGGAGGTGAATCAAAAAAGGGAATCCTTAGATTTATTGTGTCGTTTAGAAGCATTCCCAAATTTGTCGTGGCTATGTCTGGGCGATTTCAATTAGATTTTAACCCAAGGAGAGAAAAAGGGTTGGAATAGAAGGGCGGATTGGCAAATGCGTGCTTTTAGAGAAGCTTTAAACAGGGGCTCTCTGAAGGATTTGGGGTTTGTGGGATATCCTTTCGCTTGCTGTCAAGGATGGAGTCAAAATTTGATCCTCGAAGGCAGATTTTATGCATAGTTTTTTTTTTTTTTTTTTTTGGTACATCAGAAAGATATATATAAAGAAGACATTAGACAGAGTTCTTAGTAAAAGTGGTCATATCTGCCAACAAAAAATTAGCCAACTTGGGAGGGGCTCCTCTAACCCCACAAAAGTAACAGACTGTTGGATCCCAAGATTAGGCAAAAGATCAGCACACTAATTTCCTTCTATAAGGGTATGGAGAATGGATATGTTGTTAATCGCCATGAGTCTTCTACATTGTAAAATATCAAGTCTGTTGGGATGAGTGTCTTCTGGGTCCTTGGACAAAAGCTTAGTAGCTTCAATAGAATCGGTTTCTACAGTGATACGAGTGATGTTCCTCTTTTGCACTAGTTCCAACCCCTTGAGAATTGTTTATAATTCAGCCCGTAGGCTTGTTGAATTCTCCATCTTTCTGAAAAGCCCGCAATCCATCTCTCTATATCATTCTTGATAACTCCTCCCACTCCAGCAAGGTCAGGATTTCCTTTTGAGCATCCATCCGTGTTCAATTTGTTCCAGCCCGTGTGGGGGAAAGTCCGTGTAATAAAACAAGGAGAACAATTAGAAGAATCATAAAGAGAATTTTGGAAAGCCTTGACAGTGTCCGAGGTGAGGAGTCATGCTTGCCTAGCAACAAATTATGCTTGNGAGAACAATTAGAAGAATCATAAAGAGAATTTTGGAAAGCCTTGACAGTGTCCGAGGCGAGGAGTCATGCTTGCCTAGCAACAAATTATGCATAGTTGACAACTTTATATTATTTCCAAATATATTGAATAACCAACACATTTGTTTGAATTAAAAAAATAATCAAAATTTGAATTTTTCCCTACAATAAAAATTAATAATACTTACCATTTAATCCAGGAAAAAAAATATAGCGACTAAATATGTTTTCGTCTGACCAATGAATGTTCTTTTTGCAAATGATTGAAGAATGTGTTTGAGTTATGAACAAAGGGTTTTATTTTTTTTAAAGGGTTGGGGCTTTCGGTTGTGAAAGAAGAACGGTAAGAAATTGGAAAGTGCTATTTGTTTTTATTATCTTTTCATTCACAAAGGACGTATTTTTTTTTACGTAATTAATGGGAAAAGGGCAAGTCTCTTTAATTTATAAAACTCCTCCATCAACTATTATACAGTACCAGAGGCTCTACAAAACACAAGAAAGGGGGGGGATGGGCACCCCAGGCCATGGAGTAACTTTGTCTTTGCCTAGTGTAATAACAAACCAGACCCGTATACCGTAAAGGAAAGATTAGATCCCCCGCGAATTCAGCTTGGCTTGCTCTCTTTCCGGCAGTAACAGTGGTTCATAGATTTAGTCATGCCTCTAATCAATATAAAGTGGTGCTAGATACGTAATCAAGATTTATTCCGAGAGGGGGTTTAGGGTGGAAGAGGAAATTCAAATTTGAAGCATGTTGGGTGAAAAGAAGGGATGTCGAACAAGTGATCCGGAAGGCTTGGCGACCTAGTGATGGTAATGGCGATTTTTAGGATGTTTGCAATAACATTCAGAATATTCGAGTGGGCCTATTAAAATGGAGGAATAAGTGTTTGAGAAATGTAAAAAATAGATTACGAGAGTTGAAAGCTCAATTGACGATTCTAAAAGAAGATGTGATGACAGAGGAAAATATGAAATGGCCAGGGTCGTTAAAGAAGAGTTGGATGGTCTATTGGGTATGGAAGAATAATATCGGGGACGACGGTCTTGAGTTTAGTGGCTCAAGGAGAGAGATTGGAACACGACGTTTTTTCATACAAGTGTTTCTCTGAGCCAAAAAAGGAACAAAATAAGCAGGTTAAGGAATGAACATAGAGTATGGTGTAAAAGTAAAAAGGATGTGGAATCGGTGGCAGTGACATATTTCCAAAAACTGTTGTCCTCAAACAGACAGCAGCAGGGAGAGATAGAAATAGTGTTGAACGAAGTGGAGCACAGGGTGGCGGAAGAGATGAACGCTAGATTGCTAGAGAGTTTCGTCCTCATGAGATATTCCGTTCTCTTTCCCAGATGTATCCCACAAAGTCTCCTAGTCCGGATGGTATGCCCCCCCCCTATTCTTTAAAAAATATTGGAATGTCATGGGGTCGGATGTAATTACATGTGGGTTGTGTTTTTTAAATGGTGGTTGTTTTCCTTCAAAATTAATTACACCCACATCATCTTGATTCCGAAGTGTCTCAGCCCAAAGAATATGAACCAATTTCATCCCATTAATTTATGTAGTGTCCTTTATAAACTGGTGGCCAAGGTTTTGGCTAATCGGTTAAAATTGATTCTTCCCTCTATTATCTCTGAAAATCAAAGTGTGTTTATTCCTAGGAGGCTGATAAAGGATAACATGTTGCCTTCAAATTAAACCACTATTTGAAACGTAAAAATTGGGAAAAAAGCTAGACATATTTCCTTGAAACTAGACATGAGTAAAGCTTATGACAGGGGGAATGATGGGCAAGTTGGGTTTTGATTATAGGTGGATATCTCTTGTAATGCAATGTGTGTCTACGGTGTCCTTTTCGCTCATGCTTAATAATGAGCAAGTTGGTTTTTTTTCTCATCGGAGAAGGGTATCTGTCAAGGAGACTCTCTGTCGCCTTATTTATTCATCATTTGTGCAGAAGGGTTATCAACGATGTTGAAAGCAGCTAGGAGGGATGGGAGAATTAATGGAGTCACGATTGGCAGAGAATGTCCCAAGATTTCTCATTTACTTTTTGCAGATGACAATCTTTTATTCCTAAGTGGCGAAGCTCATGAAGCTAGATCGGTGAAACAGATTCTCCAAATCTATGAATCGGCTTCGGGTCAACAAATAAATATTGATAAGTCGGCTATGGTGTGTAGCAAAAATATCAATGCAGAGAAGGCGGCAGAGATTCAAGGAATTTTAGGGGTTCGGCTTGTCCAGCAACATGACAAATATTTGGGCCTACCCACCGTCATTGGCCAGTCAAAGAGAGAGGTTTTTAGTAATATCAAGGAAAGAGTATGGAGTAAGCTGCAAGGGTGGAAAGGGCAATTTTTATCTTCTGCGGGTAAAGAAGTATTGATTAAAGCCCTGTCCCAATCTATTCCCACTTATGTGACGGGGTACTTTAAGCTCCCAGATTATTTGTGTGCAAAACTTGAATCCATGACAGCAAATTTTTGGTGGGAGCAACGAAATGGGGAGAGGAAAATTCATTGGGTGAGTTGGAAGAAGATGTGTAAGAGTAAATCAAGGGCAGTATGGGTTTTCATGACCTTAAGGCTTTCAATCTGGCTCTATTATCTGAGCAAGCATGGTGCCTAATCTATGAAAGACACACTGTTGTATAAGGTCAAGAAAGCAAGATATTTTCCGTTGTCTACAATTCTTAGAGGATAAGTTAGGCCACCGACCGTCTTTTTCCTAGCAGAGTATTTTTGAAGCTTGTAAAGTCATAGATGCAGGGTCCAGATGGAGAATAGGAAATGGACCAAAGGTAAAGATTTGGGGTGATCGTTGGGTACCTATGCCAAATAGTTTCAAAATTGTCACCCCGATGAATGCCTTTACAGAGGCGTCAACCATGAATGAATTAATTGACCCTTCTTTGCATAGATGGAGATCCCAGTTAATTGAATGAACTTTCCTTCCCCATGAAGCTTTGGCTATCAAAGTCATACCACTAGGAAATCATGCAGCGGAGGATACTCTAATCTCGCATTACAACCAGTGGTAAATTTACGGAAAGAAGTGGTTACAATGTTACAGTGGAGAAAATTTTGGTTTGTGCACAGAGGTCTGCCCAGCAAGCTTCATCAAGTGCAAGTAACGTGTGTTGGGATTTTCGGTGGAAGCAAAGAATTCCAAATAAGGTTAAAGTTTTTATTTGGTGCTTTTGTTTGGAGGCTCTACCCACAAATGAGAATTTATGGCGAAGGAAAATTAAGCCAAATAATCTGTGTAATGTGTGTCGTAGGGACTTGGAGCCGAGTATTCACATTCTACAAGACTGCTACTGGGCCAAACTATCATGGAATTTGAGCTCTCTTCACAGGATCATTCACAAGTCTGGGACAATTGTGGAACAATAGGTAAGGGACATACACTCTTTTTTGGGTCCAGAAGAGTTTGCGTTATTTCTTGTTCAGTGTTGGTTGATTTTGAATCATAGGAACGAGATGGTTCACTCAGGTTCCTCTAAGAACCCGGCAATTATTGTCAAAGAAGCTAGAGTTTTTTTGAAACAATACCAGTAGCAGGCCAATGGTGATCGAAGTTCAACTGCTTCAATCTTTGCGTCTTGGAAGCCTCCTAGAGATGATCTACTCGAGGTTAATTTTTGTGGTTTGTGCTTGTGGAAGGGCAGGCAGTGGGAATTGAAGCTGTTACAAGGGACAGCAGTGGGGTTTTCGTGGCAGGGATGGCTAAGAAGTGTGTGCATAGCCTTGCAAGAAGCAATGAGGTTTGCTCCTCTTCAAGGAATAGGTTTTGGAAGGAGATTCTATCCAAATTTTGAAGGAGATTATGACTATAGATTCTGATGAAGATGCGCAATCCAGAGCTGCAAACCTGGATAGTGTTTGGCTTGCACTCAAAAGCTTGAGTTATTACGAGATAACTATGGCACGGAGAAATGGTAATAGAGTGATATTGAGCTTAGTTAAATGCAAAATATTATTTGAATCTAAAAATTTAACATAATTTGTTAACTTAATGACGTGACTTCATTAGAACTATTGGATAAACACCAAGTTTTAATATTTGATGGAGTTCATAATTAATTCAAAAGTCATAGTGAATTAAGTCACAATAACATTGCTCTAGTTAAATACGTGAGATTTTTTAGGGTTACAACGAGAGTACTTTCTTATTTCTCGTATCAGTAAAGCATACCATTTCTATTTAAAAAAAATACCCATTTCTTCTAGATGCTACTTTAACGCATTAATATCAACCCAACTGATTTGTACCATCACTAGTTTTTGCAATCTTGGAGCCCTTAGGCTGCCGGTGTTGACCCGTCTTTACTCTTTGGGATTGAGGTTACATATTAGTCGATTGAAAAATATTCGGTATAACGACACTTCACCACTATTACGTGAAATTATGGTTTAATAATAAAACCAACGTATAGATAAACTAGTAATAATTATATGTCTGAACACACTTTATAATACCCAAAATTAAACATTGATCGTGTATAACTTTTAATTTTTTATCTTTAATCACGTCATTTAAAATTAAATAAAACAAAAATTAATTAGTAAAGAGGTAGGAGAGACAAAAGAGAGATATAGCTGTGAATTAATGGGGTTATCCAGCATTGGTGGCCGTGCGATATAAATAATGTTTTTGAGCGAAAAAATATATTTTGGAATGAATATTGTACAATTAAATTAAAATCAATAAAAATTAGATCAATTTTCACCGTTCTTGTGTTTTATAGATTGGGACTTGGATGAGGTCCACCAAATAAATGAACTCCACAATAGATCAGGTATGAATTTTATGGGGTTTTGTTTTCTTTTTGAACATGTGAATTTTAAAGTTGGATGGAACCATTTTAGAGTTGGAATTGTGTTTTAAATTTCTCAAATTAGGTAATAAATAGAATTTTTCAAAAAATGATGGGCGACAGGTTATGGGTTCCATATTAGGTGTGCATGGAAAGATGGCAAAATGATTCCATCAAAGGTATAATTATTCTAAAAATCTTTTTTTTTTAAAAGGAACAGAGTAACGTTATATCAATAAAGTCATTTGGTCAATGCTTGTCACTTGTATGGATAATCAATGAGGAGGTTGCTTCCAACTTTGGCATTGACCAACTTTAATTGTGACAAAGACTAATATGTTGTTTTATGTAAAATAATGAATGCTAAAAGGCTAATAATGCTTTTCTCCATTTTCTCATAGAAAGAAAATAGATGGTCACATGTACTTGTTTTTTTTTTTTTGTTGTTGGTTAAAAAATGAGTGGGCCAAATAAGAGTGTCAGCAATCACTCTGATAGACCTTTATCGATGAGATTATAAGACCTCTAATAGAACCCGAAACATCTCTTGGGGCCAAATCTAGGTCAACCACCAAGTCTTAGTAGAGACTCCAAGACTCGAACTTCTAATTTCAACGTGGGGAATAAGGTCAATACCCAACTAAACCATCATACTTTGTGGTATAACATGTATTGGTTCAAATTTCTAAAACTAGTTCAAATTCCTTCGTTTTTAATACGAGTTGAACGAAAGCTCAATTTTGAAACGAGTCAGAGTAATACATTTTTTCGATCCTTCTAGATTTGTGATTAGGTCAATATAATATTATTTTAAAATTATATATAATATTTATTATATGAATTCTAATCTTGAGTTTTAGTTCCAATACAAAATTCAAACTTAGTCTGTTTAATCAACTAGTCGAATTTGAATTTGAGAACTAAACTAATCAACGAACCTCATAAAATATTCAAAACTCGTTATGCTTTTCTAAGCAAATATTGATTTGTTTTAAAAAAAAAACAAACGAATGAACTGAAGCCAAACAGTTTTGTAATTCACTTGATTTGGTTTATGAATAGCATTACGATTCTTAAAAAAAGTATTCTACTTAAAATTACTGTTTTTAAAGGTCAATTTACACACCTTTTAAATGTAAAGTAATAATTAATGGGAGTTATTCGTTATTGATCATAGACAACCCAAATCTGTTCTAACGTTATCTTTAAAAGGTATAACCTTTAAAAAGTATAACTTGATTTTTAAAAGTTTTGTTGGAAATAACGGTGTTAGAACAATTATTTTGAGTAATTTTGGGTTTAAATAAAAGTGGGACTCATACTTCAAAATTAGTGGGACCAAGTTTAAATTGTTCTCCTTTGCGAGAAGATTAACATGATATATTTATTTGTTCAAAATCATTTAGTATTGAATGAGAAATTATGTCTCAAATTAACCCACTTGAATAGTATATGGAAGGAACTAAGTTAAACGAAGTGTAGTGTATAAGAGTATCTTCAAGCATGACTCAAATTTTTATTCAAATTTAAATTAACATTTGAGTAAAAAACTTGATTTGATACAAAGGGCTCCAATGGGAAAACTCAAATTTAAAGAATAAGAAACTCAAATTTAAATGTGGGCAAACTCAAATTTAAAAAAGAATAAAAATGACTATTGAATTTTTAAAAGATGGTGAAATCTCACTATTAAAGATTTAGGTAAAGATTTAAGTCTCCTTTAATTTGTGTAAAAAAAAAAGTCTCTCTTGATTTGGTATAACTTTGAATCAAAGGTTGGATCAAGTTTTTTGAAATTTTTTACTCAAATTTAAATTTAAGTCTATATTTGAGTAACGGTTAAAGATGCTCTAAGGCTTATCCCACATTAGAAGGTCAAAATTTTGGTGAGTTAATATATTCCTAGTTAACTNGTGTTTTAAATTTCTCAAATTAGGTAATAAATAGAATTTTTCAAAAAATGATGGGCGACAGGTTATGGGTTCCATATTAGGTGTGCATGGAAAGATGGCAAAATGATTCCATCAAAGGTATAATTATTCTAAAAATCTTTTTTTTTTAAAAGGAACAGAGTAACGTTATATCAATAAAGTCATTTGGTCAATGCTTGTCACTTGTATGGATAATCAATGAGGAGGTTGCTTCCAACTTTGGCATTGACCAACTTTAATTGTGACAAAGACTAATATGTTGTTTTATGTAAAATAATGAATGCTAAAAGGCTAATAATGCTTTTCTCCATTTTCTCATAGAAAGAAAATAGATGGTCACATGTACTTGTTTTTTTTTTTTTGTTGTTGGTTAAAAAATGAGTGGGCCAAATAAGAGTGTCAGCAATCACTCTGATAGACCTTTATCGATGAGATTATAAGACCTCTAATAGAACCCGAAACATCTCTTGGGGCCAAATCTAGGTCAACCACCAAGTCTTAGTAGAGACTCCAAGACTCGAACTTCTAATTTCAACGTGGGGAATAAGGTCAATACCCAACTAAACCATCATACTTTGTGGTATAACATGTATTGGTTCAAATTTCTAAAACTAGTTCAAATTCCTTCGTTTTTAATACGAGTTGAACGAAAGCTCAATTTTGAAACGAGTNAAAATTTTTTACTCAAATTTAAATTTAAGTCTATACTTGAGTAACGGTTAAAGATGCTCTAAGGCTTATCCCACATTAGAAGGTCAAAATTTTGGTGAGTTAATATATTCCTAGTTAACTTCATGGGTTGAACCCTAAGGGATACTATACTTTTGTAACCAAAACGAGCACCTACACATTCTTGGTTACCACACGCGCATGCACCGTTCGCCCTCCATGTCAAGACTCGACGACCAGTTCGAGCTTGTGTTAAAAAGATATTATCTTTTTTGGAGAAAATTTATTTGGTGTAGTACGAGTTATGCATCAAACTAAATGGATCCGAACTCTGATTACAATTAATTTTCCAACCGAAATTTAATATCCAACTAGATTTTTAAACTTTCTATCCATTAAATTTGAAATTGGTGTCAAAATTGAATTATTTCTGTAATTGTTCAATACAGAGGTATTTTTCCCTTCTTTGTTGTTGTTCAGATTAAGGGTGTGTCTCTTCGATCCGAATAGATTCAACGAACAGTGGCATCTCGTGCCTCTTCAGGCAATCTGAATAGACACAACTAGTCTATAAATAGAGTGGTTCACTATCATTTTCAATCATTCCAAACATCCTGAATCCTGCATTTAGTTTTTCTTCTCTTTATGCATATTGTTGCATTATCATTTCTGTACGGTTCAGTATAAATACAAGTTGCGTTTGTTTGAATCTTGAAAATTGAAGTAATGTATCTTCAAGAATGAAATCCGTTTTATCTTGGGAAATATTTGTTTATCAATCATAAGCACCGAAAAGGGAGCAAATCTAACTTAAAGAATTTGTGATTACATAGAGCTCAGATTATTTCTAAATTTCTAAATTTTTATTATTGTTGATATTCTGCGTCATTATAATTGTTTGACATTCTGTTTTATTTATTAGATTGCATATAACAGTATAGTTTGTAATCATAGAATTATTACTAATACTGATTACATATATTTTGGATAATAATAACTTATATGATTGATCATAATATCTTTTGATATCAATCGTGCCATTTTTAATATAACTTACACTCCAAAGAAATATAACTTAATTTCAAAAAATTATAACTCTCTTATGCTCTTGTAACTCCCCGTTTTCGGAATGTGTTACTTGATTAAATCAATTAATCACAATAAACCACAAATATCTCAAAATACAGGGATAGGGCTCTAATTGCCTCAATAAATTTATAATCACAATTTTTATCTCCAAATACCAATAAAACTTAAAAATTATATCAAGATTCGTCTATCTTTGATTTATTAAATACTAACTTTGGTCGTTCTTTCTGAGATTATCCTGAAAAAAATTTTAAAAGCAGGGAAGCATACAATATGACAGGAAATAATATGTTCAATGAGAAAAATATGAAT